AGGGTTTGCAAAAACACACCCTCTTTTCTGGTAAAAAAGCGAGCTTTCCCCCCTTGGCCTCGCAGGAGCGGAGACCGGAGTCTAGAGCCGTAGAGAGAATATCTTCATGGCATGTCGGATGTCGCAACGCATTCATCGACCCAATCGACGACGGCATATACACGCAAAGCAAAACGCGCGCGTAGCCAGCGCTCGTCACAGTTTCCCTCCCCGCCAAGCGGGCCGCTGGTTGACTCGCGCTCCCTCTCAACTCACATCCGACCCCACACCCTATATAGCGGCGTAGGGCGTGGTTTGCACATTCTCGACTAGAGACGTGCTCTGCGTGCTCCCGCCCGCTCCCGCCCGCTCGGCTCCCGCCGCTCCCCGCTCCCGCCTGCCCCGCCCGCCAGAGCGGCGGCGGGAGAGGTGCCCTCTCTCGCCACTCCGTAGGCCCTACTGCGCCGCCTCGAGGGCAGCCAGCCGCGCCGCCACCGCCGCCACGCCCATCGCCCGCACCTCCGCGTCGCTCGGTGGCGCAGCGGCGGGGACATGAGCAGCAGAGCCGCTGCCGCTGCCGCTGCCGCCGCTGCTGGAGCCGCCGCCGCCGCCGCCGCCGCTGCTCGGCGTAGCGTGGCGCTGCCGCTTGGGTGCCGGGCCGGCGCTCGCACTCCCCTCAGTCGAGTTCTTGCGCACGGCCGCCACCATCTCGGCCCCCATCTCCATCTCGACCTCGATCACGTACGCCGGGTACATCTGGCGCGACTCGTACACAACGTGTACGATGGAGGCGTTGCACCCGTTCTCGCCTCCGCCGGAGACGAAGGGGCGGTGCGGCCCGCCGCGCACGCTGTCGTAGAGGAGTCGGGGAGGGCCCTCAACGCGCACGTCCGGCATGCGCATCGCCTTCGTCTCCGCGCTGATGCGCTGCCCCATCTCCTGCTGTGAGCCGAGGGCAGCCTTCACGATGAGCAGCTGCACGCGGCTGCCGCCCGAGCCGGAGATGCGGTGCGCGTAGCGGCCGCCTTGCTGTCCCCCTCTCCTCACGTTGAAGGATAACCTACATAGCCGCTGCGCG